CTCTAACATTCTGTGATTCTGTGACTTCCTGGCAAAACTTGGATGGTTTCATTTGTAATTATAATGCAGTTGGTTGTTATGGCAATAGTATGCCATTGTATTTGACATTTTCTACTTTCCCTTTTATCCAAATGTGAACTCTGTCAGGGTACTTGTTTTTCCTTCATAATAACAGTGACCTTTATTGAAAATTGTATTATTATGTATAATTAGAGACCTGTTTGTTGGTGACGTTTGTTTTTTTTGAAATATCAGAAAAAATACAAAAACATTATACTAGCATGTGTTGAAGTGCATTCTGGTGTTAACTTTGCATTAAGAGGGTATAGTTGGCTTGGAACATCTGCACACTGTTCCAGCATTCCGAGTCATTAATTAATGTTTGTTGTGTCCATTTTATATTGCAGTATTTTCTTGTGTAAAAGTTGTTCTTTCAAAAGTGGCTTATTTGCTGTTTGTATGGCCTTGTCTCATTATAAAACCAGAGTGCTACAGGCTGACATTGCTGAAGAGTTTGATCTTTTCTCTGTAACCTGAATTACTTGTTTCTCTTGCAGCCTTTGGATATCCCTGATGGTCGAAGGGCCCCATTACCTGCTCACTATCGTAGTAGTAGTACACGAAGCATTGATACTCAGACTCCCTCTGTCCAGGAGCGCAGCAGCAGCTGCAGCAGTCATTCACCATGTGTCTCTCCCTTTTGCCCTCCTGAGTCTCAGGATGGGAGTCCTTGCTCAACAGAAGATTTACTCTATGACCGTGATAAAGGTGAGAGTAGAATGGCCCACCTTTACCTGTGGGAGGCATGTGATGTCCTGCTTTTACAACTACCTTCATTTTACTCATTACATCAGTTTTTGTTTTTGTTTGATTGTTGTGGAGGGATTGAGGATTTATCTTAAAATCGGTTTTGTTTGTTTACATATCTTTTTCCCTCTTGTTTGTGAAACTTCACAAACATCTTCCATAAATACGTCAGAGGAGCACAGCAAACAGTCTTAATTATTTATGAAGATTCTAATGTGAAGAATTCAGATTGTAAAATGTTTATATTTAAAAAGGGTTTCAAGAAGGTTTGTGTTAGACTATATGTTCATCATTGGTGTGTTACTTGTTGATCAAAATGGTGATGAAGTTTTGGACTGCTTTTAAAAGTACTCTGCTTCTGAATGCTTACATTCCACTTGAAATTATTTGGTGAGGAACTCAGATTTAAGTTTGAACAATCTGATGGAGAGTTAATTATTTGTCTGTGTATGTTGTATAGCAACCCAAAATTTCTGATTAATTTATGTTTATATGTCAATAACCTCCTTTTTTTCAAATTCTGTAAAATGCTGTTTGATTTTTTGTAGAGGGGTTAAACTGGAGTTTCAGTAATTAAGAGTTACTGACAGAACATGTACTATGAAAATATAGGCACCAGTGTAAAAAGGCTGATTTTTTTTGACTTTTTCCTAATGAAATTATTCTTGGGCTTCTGGTCAGCTAGACATACATATGTCTTTTATCAGCTGGAAACATGAACTTCAGTTTGGAGGCATGCAGGGCTTGGGTAAAACATGCAAGCTAAGAGTAATAAGTTTCACAGAAGAAATGAAAATTTAGGATTTAGTGCAGATTTACTAATGAGCTAAAGACAGCAATATTTTGAGGTTATAAGTAAGGTTAAGCTTTTTCTGTATATTCTGTATATTCTCTGTTTAATAATTCTTACAGTAATTTGAGAGTAAGACTGGGGAAGGCAGTGGGAAAAAGAATAGCTTGTCTTGGTTTCTGAAAAGTGTTGCTTTCCCATCTTGGATTTAAAAGGAAGTGGTGGAAAAACAAATTCACCTGCCCAAATCCTGAATTTGGGGTGAGTGTGGGCATATGTGTAAGTTAACCACATCAGAGTGAAAGTCTTAGCTCAACATGATAGTTGGCCATGCCCCAAAAATAACAGATAGATTAGCTCCCCCCTCCCCTTCTCTTGCTTATAGTATGCGTGTGAATTGTAATGTCTTGTCAAGACTGAATCACTATAGAAACATCTGTTAAAGTACTAGCACACAGGGAAACGTCTTGACAGGTAAATTTGTTCATATATGTCCTGATAACAAATATAAGTTAAAAAGCAAGGAAATAAAAAGAATAATTCCTTTTCCAGTTAGTACTCACTTATCACAGTAATTGGAATTTTCAGTGGTATTTTTTCAGTAGTAGCAAGTAAAGACAGTTTGAAATAGTGCATCTAACCTTCTTAATGCTCTTCAAGGGTTTTAATCTCCTGTTTTGGATTTTTTGAACAGTTAATTAGAGTTAAACTTATTGCTGAACTTCACAATGAATAGATATTTATTTGTGGCTTTTGGTTTTAAGGCTGCCTTTAATGCTAGGTTTTATCAAAAGTCTGCTTTAGTAGTAGTGTATAGGTGACAGTGGAAAGCAGCCAGCTTTGTAAAGTTAATATAATTGCATTTTTAAATTAAGTAAGATACTTAATACTGTGCTTGTGAAAGATAAAAACTTGAACTGCTCATCACAACCTCGTTCTTTTAAGGACAAGATGGAAACTAGAAAAGCTCATGGCAGTTTTCCAACAGAAAGTAATTTGTTCAGAGGTTATAAAAGTATATTCAGAAAGGCGCCTTTTACTCTCAGATCATTAAGATCCTGCAGGACAGTTATTCTGCATAAGAATGTTATGTTCAGACTATTTAAATTACAGATAAATGAGGGATATAGGTAGAAGTTATAAGGGAGTAACAAGTTTTGTGAGAAAGTTTACATCTGCTGTGGATGTTAACTGCTTTATAAAACAAAACCCAGAAGTTTTTCACACCTTAATTTTAAAGGGGTTTGTGATGCTACAATAAAACTGGTGTGAGTTTGCTATGAGGCCTGATAAGTTTTGAAAAATGCATTTACGTATATGCATATGTATATGCATATATGTATAACCAAACGTAGATGTTTTAAACCCAAGATATTTTTCTGTTACTTTTCTCAAGTTGAGGTTTTATTTTCCTCTCTACAGGAATAACTTGGCCTTACCATTAAAAAACGTAATTATCAGCTTTATGAATTCTCCTGAGTGTGTTGCTGAATAGGGAAGGAAGGTTAGTAGTTTGACTGAGAGACACGAGCAGTGAGAGGAGCCAGCATTCTGTACAGGCACAGAACTGCTTTACATTTCTAAAGCATCTGTTATTTCTTGTGCAAAGCTGTGCTTTGGCCTGAGGCCTTCACAGATGCTCTTTGGACTGTATCAGCTGTTTGGTTTACATTTTTGCAAGAAGCTGCTAAATCTATTAAATTTTTCAAAAGAAAGTGAAAGCTAAATTTCAGAAAAGGCTCACAATACTTCTCCGAATGGAGCAGTGATACTAAATTGGAGCAGAGAGGGAAGAGTCGCAGAGAAGGTATTTTAATGGCACCCGGGTTTATGATTTTGTTTTCAGGCATCAGCCTATTGCAAGCTAAGTTACTGCCTTGCTGCATTAAGGCTACCATTTTCACTAGATCTGGTTTCCTATACTCTGGTCCATGAGACTATAATTCAGAGTGCTGCTCAGCATACTTAGTAGCTGTGACAGAAGTAAAGTTCAAAGGCATCCTAAGGTATAAGCAGATGAAATTTGGGGTTTTTTTCATACAAAAATAGGTACTATAACCTGTTTTTTGGGGATTTTGATTTTGGTGCTTTTGTGTAGCATTGTATATTCCCACTGGCTGTTACATGTTCATGACGATGAACTGAAGATACTTCTTGAGTTTGGGCATCTGATTCGTAGTTTTTACAATGAAAATTGTATGTGAAGTCTTTGGATATTCTTAAGAAACAAAGGTATTTTTGAACCTATCAGAACAAATCCCAAGACTCACTGGCAAAGTTTTTTGTTTCCTTTAAGTTTTGTCACAAAAAACATTGTTTTACAGATTCTTTTATTTTGCCTATTTTGTTACTGCAATATATCCAAGCTAAAATTTGTGGCATTAAGCATTCTGGTTAAAAGAATATTTTTAGTATTTAATTACAGTCTTAAACATTTTCTAGATAACAGAATATATCCATTTTGAATATTTACATTTAGAAATCCCGTGTAATAAAGCTCCATATTGTCTGCTACGTGGTTATGGTAACAAAGTTTACATCTGTTAATCTTCAGTCATTGTCATCTTAATGAAATTTGATTAGTTGGTCGAAATGCGCCAGGGGAGCACACCCTACTGGTGGAAGCGTAGAAGATGCAGACATGTCCTCTAACACGAAGGCTCACACTTTGCAGCTTCTGAGACAGTAAAAAAAGGTGTAAATAGCACAGTTTGAGAATATGCATTTGCAGTGTCATTAAGGATTAATAATGTGACAGTTTAGCACTTCAGAGCTTGCAGGATACACAAGTGAAGACTGGCTTAAGCTGTAAATTCCACCTCTTACTATAACTTGTGGCCTGTTTTCCCAGTATCCTTCCATTCTTGCACCACTGCTGTATGTGTAGGACCAACACCAAACTTGGATGTGTGAGCCTGCTAATAACCACATATATTTTTCAAAGAGTAGTGTGGCGTATGTTTGGTCAAAATGAAGAGCTAACAACTTAGTAAGCTTTAAAAACAGGGAGGTTAAAGGGAGAAACAGAATTGTTAAATTATACAGAATGGTTAAATTGTGCAATATAATTTTTTTTTTTTACTTGTTTAACAGCTGTCTTGTATAGAAAGTTCCAACCAGACAGGACTAAATAAACTGAAAACTTAATTAAAAACTGAACTGGCTAGACAAGACTCTAAATCTTCCAAGAACTGACTTAATTTTGAATTCAGTTCGATTCTTTTCTTGGATGTACTTCCACAGTTTTCCACTATTTGGTGGAATGAACAGTAGCACACTTTATGCCTCAGAGTTTTTAAACAGAAACTTGGATCTTCAATTTTAAATATTAGAAGGAGGAAACAAACTGTCTGGGTTCTGTTAATGATTTCTGTGTTTGGAATGAACTGTGTGGGCCAACAGTGGAAAGATGCCAACGGGACCATCATGCTCCCAGCTTGGCAAATATCTGCATTGTCTTTAAGCTTTTTCTGGCTTTGTACAGTTAACACCTAAAATTCTGTAAATAGAAGTTCTGTGTTCGCAATACAGCAGGACAGAGCTGAATAATCAATACATAACTGAGGTTCACTTCAACTGTTTTTTTCTCACACCTTTCACAGTGTATCTCCAAAGGAAAGTATGACATTTGAGTTGATCTGTGTCTTTCTTGTAAGAGGAAGCAGAGCTGTTTCAAACCCTCTAATCATTAGCTTTTGTATTTCAGTCATGGTTATACAAATGTTTATGTAGTTACCATTTGCAAGCTGTTAAAGACAACCTTATATGCTTCAGTGAATCTAGATCATGGTGCTTGAAGCTTTGGTTGGTTTTCCACTGTTGCTGAAAAGGCACACATGAGCAACAACAGAATAAACAAAGGTATCTGAGTTAAAAATGGTAAGGTACCCCACATCGGTGGAAAGACTCAAAGCCAAAGCAGGAGCAGTTACTTCTCTCCAAATAAGGTGTGTTTGTAAGTTGGGGAATCCTCTTTAACCTTGCTATTTCATTTCATTTTTTTTTAATTTTAAGCCCAGGCAGAGAATAGGGAGGGACTAATACTAGCCTGAGATAAGTGTTGCTCTTTGAAAAGGTAGAAGCCACTGCAGAAAGCTGGTTTTCTGTGAGGAATTATTTTTGTACCTACTTTATTTCCTTAATGCATTGAATACCATGTTATCAAGACGAGTGTTTAAAGTTAACTCTTTCATAGTTGGAATTTTTCAAACTGTTGTGCTTCTGTCATTACCAAAGCGGAGTCTTCTATCTCACATTCCAAGAAGTACAAAGACATCTGCCTATTGTCTTGTGTCCTAGGTCTTTGCACTTTTAGTTCTAAGTGTGTCTAGTAGTCTTCTGCAAAATATATACAGGCAGCTAGAGTTAGGAAGGATACCTACATCATATAGTTAGTGATGAGAGACTTGAGTTGTGGAAGTTTTATTTTGGATACTAAAAAAACTTCACAATTGTGAAACAAATAAGGAAGGGCATTGTAATGGTGAGGTATCATCGGTACCTGTATTACAAATGTGCTTTGTTTCTTTACAGCTTCTGAACTATTCATGAGACTAATGATGTCAATATTCCAGTGAAGAATTATGTTTTAAAATAAGATACATGCTGTATACACACATTTTCAATAACTGTGTTTATACAGTGAGTTGTATTACTATTAGCACTCATAATTCTTCTGCATGTATTATGCATATTACCTTGTTCATTTATGTTTTTTGAAATACATAATAAAGAACGTATTTGTTTCCAGGATCACAGCTCTGCTTTGTTCTGATTGCAGTGTTCTGGATAAAAATATCCTCCTGTTGTGTGTTATGTGATAGATTACTGCTGCACTGAAGCTTTTATTCAGAAGAAATGTGCTATACAAGGGTGTTAGAAATAGCCTGCAATAAAGGAAGCATTGTAGTAGAAGCATACCAGCATAGTGGCTAAATTGTAAAAAAAGGCATCTTGTTTGGAAATCAAATTTAATTAAAAAGCACTCTCAATCTCTAGTAATATAACTGCTTTAAATTTTCAGACAGTGGGAGTAGCTCACCGTTGCCCAAGTATGCCTCATCTCCCAAACCAAACAACAGCTACATGTTCAAACGAGAGCCCCCAGAGGGATGTGAGCGAGTGAAGGTCTTTGAGGAAATGTCGTAAGTAATGCCTTTTATATCAGCTGGTATCTGCAAAGCAGTAAACCTGTTTACTGAGCCTATTCAACTGCAGATGAATAAACTATTCCAGCTGATGAGTTTTTCAGGAGCAAACTATTCTTAGAGTTTGTACAGAAGAGAAGTTGAAGTGTTCACATTTGTTTGGAGAGGAAATGGAGTCTTTTATGCTTGAACTCTTTTTGTGCATTTATAAAAGGCAACAAAAAACCAAGCAGAAAAGATATGGTACATTTAATTTCCTAAGCATTTATAAACCTCTTTCCATATATTTTTATTAACTTTTGAAATGTTCGTGGCTTAAAACAAAAACTCTCCTTGTCATAATTCTTTATCAGTTTCAAGCATAGGTTTCATTTTGATACATAAAAAATTTACAAAATGGAATGAAACCTATGTACATTATTTGTAGACGGTATTATACTTATGGTATAGACTTTGCTCAATATTTTTGCTGATCAAGAAATTGGAAATTAAACTCTTAGACATCATGTCTTTTTCCCCTAAACCCAGCAGTATTTGAACACATGCTGTCAAGGTTGCATGCTTAGCTCCTGTGGATGAAAGAATAAGGAGGGGACATTTCTTACTCTAACAGCATTCATTGCCTGCTTGATGGTGAAGGAGCAATGTTGGGTTGAGGAGGAAGCCTCCAGACAAATTATGGAATATAGGAAAGGAGAGGTCTACTTCCCAGATGTTCTCAAAGGGATTTGATATGACTGAATATGTTGTTTTTGCATTGTTTTATTAAAGAAGAATTTGTGCCATTCTAAATTACCACGGCATATTTTCATGTGCATATGTACTGCAGATTTTTCTTGCTGGAAGTTGCATGTTTATCCAGTAACTATCAAGTCATTTTTGTGACAGTACTATTTTTAATGCTGTGGATCAGTTAGCTGACTACCGATATGGAAGATGTTTGCCCCTCTGTCCAATTAATCCCATTCCTTGTCATTCACATTTTAGCAACATGTAGAACCACAAAGTTCATGACGTATAAAACATCTTGGTTGGCCAGGTATATAATCTTTTTTCTTATTATAGGTCTCGTCAGCCTGTCTCAGCCCCTCTCTTTTCATGTCCTGACAAAAACAAGGTTAATTTCATCCCAACCGGATCAGCTTTCTGTCCTGTAAAGCTTCTGGGCCCCCTCCTTCCTGCTTCAGACCTGACACTGAAGAACTCTCCAAACTCTGGTCAAAGCACAGCTTTGAGCACCCTGACTGTAGAGCAGCTTTCGTCTCGGGTCTCTTTCTCATCTCTGTCAGATGACACCAGCACAATGGACTCTACAGAGGTCCAGGTACAGCAACCGTCCCAACAGCAGCAGCCGCTTTTGCAAGAAATTCAGACTGAAGACCATTCCTCTCCTCAGAGCTACATGTTAATCTAGACCAAGGTGGAGCAGGCCTCTGCCCTGAAACAAGGATTGAGGAGATAGTAGTTCAGATACATCTGCATGAGGTGGCAACCTTTCAGAACAACATGGAATACTTAGCAGCATTCAAAAAAATAGTTCAACGGTGTTCTTGGCAGGGACAGAATTGATATTCAGCATTTTTTGTGAGAAAGCAGTAATGCCTGCAGAATCCATATATCATTAAGAGTTTTAAGTGGAGACTATGCATTTCATAGTATGTTTGACCAGATTAGTACTGTGTCCTGTGTTCTGTTTCAAATTCTACAGTATAAATAAGCTCTCTCTCTCTCTATATATATATATATATAAAAGTTGCCTGTCTGAATAGAAAATGTCTTGCTGTGTTGTGTCCTATGGAAAATACTGTACTTCAGGATTATGTTTACAATTGATCCAGGTGTTTATGTTTCTAACTTCTGTAATACACACAATGCAAAAAAAAAAAATGGCCACAACAGTTGCACAGTGCCCACCCTATGGCCTAGCTTCAGGTACTTCTCTCGAAGTGTAAACTCAGGTAACTTGGAATGTATATCATATTGGGATATAAAATATTTTACAGCTACAAAGCTAAAGAGGGAACATCACTCTTTTGCCTTTCCTTATTTTATGCATTAATATTTCCTCATTACATTCCATTTTCTTGGAATAAGTGCATTCAGATCCAGGTGAACGATGACCCTGGACATGGGTGAACATGAGGAGAACCAGCAAATCTGTGAGGTATATCACTTTGTCATGTGCTTACAAGTAAAACAGCTGTTGCATTTACTGTTATTTCAATATATATGTAAAATGTGGCATTTAAAGGTTTCAGGTGTTGCTCAGTTAATGACTGTTAAACTGTTGCAAATAAAATGTTCAGTACTAGGCTGTACATGAGAAACATTCCACGTTGTGTGAGAGAGGATTTTGAAAGACAAGAATGTTTTTGTTCGAGGACAGAAATTCTTTCAGGTTTCACGGGGGGTGGTGGGGGATTTCCTCTCATGTTTTTGTTGGCAGTTAAGTATGTGAAAATGCTACTGTTACCATCTAAAAGTCAGATTAATGTTTAGTTTCTCTTTTGGAAATATTCATTCATTTACTGGTTGGAAATAGGTTTTCAGATTTTGTCAAGCAGTGTTAGATGAGCAGCATTTTATTTATGTAGTGAGTAATTGTGTTTGGATTGAAGTCCAAAAGTAGCAAGTGGATGTTCTAAGAGGGGTGGGGAAAACAGTGGTTTTAAGTTCATGTTACTTAAAGCTTCTCCCGTAACTTTCAGTTACTTAAGTTGTGTGTGTAAAAGTGTGTTTTCCCCCCTCCTTATGTGTGAATAAAAAAAAAATCTTTGTAAAATAATCCTGGTTTGCAGGCTGGACACTTTCTCAAAATAGTGCATGGCAAGAACAGGTTAGTGGTGCTCTTCTGTAGTTCTGGAAAAAGAGGAGCATTGCTTTCAGAGATAATTTCCTATGATACAAAGAGGACCCCGAAAGCGAAATAAACTTGATGTTCTTGCTCCATTGTTTTCAGCTCAGTGGAACTACATTTACCCTGTCTGCTCCTAAGAGAATAATGTTCACCTTTTCCAGCATTTGAAGAGATTAGTAGCCTGCAGCTACTGACCATTTAAACTTACTCCATTTTTTTTTCCTCTTTTGAAGATGACATTGGAGGGGGGTGAGAGTGAGCCACCAATAACTACTCACTAAATATGTGCTTTCTTTGGAGATAAAGCATTGTTTCCTTTTTATTACTGAGGTTTTGTGAAAACAGTCACTGTTTTTTGACTCCCCTTGCAGAAAACAGAGAAGGAAAGAGAGGTCTGTCTAACCATTTTCATGTGAAAAGCCTTCTTGAAACACAGCAGCCATCTTTAACCCTACTAATCTCAGGCCTAGGTGAAAACACTATATATTTTATAGACTGAAGATAAAGGGGAAAAAATACTTGTGATGTAAGTATCAATTCCTTTTAATATTTTTCTTTCTAGATTAACATTGCAGTATGATGACCTTTTTATGCTCTGGTTATGTCCAGATAAGAAATTGTAGTCTCAGTTACTGGTGTTAGGTTACCAGGGCATAGGATGAGTGTTTTTTAGATCAGTGATGAACTCTGTACAATATTTGCAATGCCATTATGTGTTCTTTTTATTTTTTCCATGAGAAACTAAATATTAATTAAATTGCACATTTGTTCTTAGCAGGTTTGAGGGTGTTGAACCAAATGTGTTAAAGCTAATGCTTTGCCATGTAAATTTCCCAGCAGTTGTTTATCTCAACTGTATTCTACATCCAGCTGTAGAAATTTGTCAAATATTGTTTAAAGTTTTGTACATAGTTGTACTGTTATTTCTAGCCACTGTGCTGAATAGTATTCAAGTTATCACACAATATTGTTTTACACAAGGAAATGTGTGGCTTTTGTTTTGTATTTTTTTTTTTTTTTGGTATAGAAGTTCCTGTGTCTTATTTAAATAAAAATTATAGTTTAAAAAAAAAATAGTGGTGATGGGGACAGTGTTGAACAGTATTCCAGTTATCACACAATATTGCTTTACACAAAGAAGTGTGTGGCTTTTGCTTTGTATTTTTTTTTTTTTTGGTATAGAAGTTCCTGTGTCTTATTTAAATAAAAATTATAGTTAAAAAAAAAAAGTGATCAGGGGGACACACAAAAGCAGGGGTTCATTTGTTTGTTTTGGAAACTGTATATGAAACACCATAGAATGAGATTAAAGTTTAATATTATTCCAAATTTACATCTAGAATAATGTCAACCATGTATCTTTATGACTAGTGTGCTATGTTTTCAAGAATAAGATAATCTCTTATCTATTGATTTTTGCACAACACTGTTCTAGGGAGGAAAAATATCTAAAAATAGATAAATGCTTAAATATGCTTTAAAAATAGCATATTTTATTTCTGCATATGATGAGTTTTTTCTCTCTTCAGAGCACAAAAAAGAAAAATCAATTAAGCGTTATTGGAAACTGTGTAACCGCTGCTGTGTTTGTGGTATGGCTAATTTCAAGTTATCTGTTGAAAATGATGAAAGCCATTAGATGTTTCAGTATGTGAAACTGAACTAAACCCCTAAATGATGTGGTATGAATCTACTGACAGTCTTGGTTTCATGTTGTTTTGAATGAGTCAAATGATTGTCATTTGACTTGCAGAATAATTCTTTCCAGATGGGGGGTGAGGGAGAGGGAGGAAGAAAGAAGAATAATATTTAAATACATGTAAATCCTCCAAAGTCAGTGTTTACTGAAGAGCACTATGGCAATAACCAGCAAGAATGGTTTAATGCTTATTATCAGTAAGAGGAAATCTAAGCTTTCAGCATCCCAGAGATGACAAGGTTTCGATGTGACTATGTTAAAAACATTAAATGAAAGTTTACTGAAAGTGCGGAAAGTCTGGAGCCTCAAAGGATGTAGGATCCTGCCCTGCTATGAAAATTCTTGAAGTCCTTCAGTCAGAAAGAGCTTGCTTTCAGCCCTTTCATCAGCTTATATGGCTTGCTAGGAGAAGCTTTGTGACTGCCTTGTCCTCTCCATGGATTTGGCTGCAGGAGATTCGGGCTGTCCTTGTGTGGGAGGGCATTTTCTTCCCAAGAATTACTTTGACAAAAGTATGTAGCTTGCCCTGAAAAGACATGATGCAGCTTGTACCATGGGTAACTTTTTCACCATCGCCATGAACCTAGGCCCCATCTGGTTAGTTATGGTTGCGGAAATGTGCCACTTCCACGAGCCACTGCTTGGTGTAATTCACTGCGTATGTCTTCCTCAAAGCCAAGACAAGCAGTCAAAAAAGTGCTGAGAGTAGAGAGCTAATGACATAATTTTGCCTTGTGTCCCTGCTTTGTGACTAAAAGATCTCCCTTAACTTGAATGTTATAGTTTCTAGCAATTCATGGCTCTAGAAATGGACTCTTCAGAAACTGCAAGAGGAGCCCTTGGCTACACATGCTGGGGATAGAGGGCAACAGATAGTGACCTGCTTCTTTTAGGAAGCAGGGTGCTGTCAGGGAAGGGATTTATGGCTTCCTGGGAAATCAGCTCTTGGGAAGGGCCAGATACTGGCCCGAGGGTAGAGCCTCGGTTTCTCCACAGTATTTAAACATAAGCCTGGAGTAATAAAAAATAAACACAAGAAAATGAATGGATTAGAGATGTTGGCTGACATTGCAGTTGCAAACGAAGACCGCTGAGGCTTAGCGAACTAGCTCCTGGCCTTACTCCATGGTAGGGGATTGATACCTCATCTGTTAACGTAAAATCCAAGGAGCTTGAAGATGACAGATGACTAGTAGAATCAATTACTGTTATAAAACAGCCTGGTTTGTTATGCTAAATATAGCCATGCAAAAAGAAATTTGCAGCTACACAACTGGGAGGAAATAACCATGGTTCCTGCAATGCGTTTCCACAACCTAAATGCAAGGAAAAAGTGAGTGAAAGCTAGGAAAGTACATCCGTTACTGCGATGTACACGTACAGCCTATTCATAGTTGGTGCTTGGCTAAAGGAAGCTGTTTGATCAAAGATTGTAATGCAGTTTAAATATGTGTATCTTGTCACTATTTGCATTAGTGTAACCAGTCATGGAAAACTATCCAGTTCAGGAGAGGCTGTAAAAGCCTGGAGGAGGCGCAGGGAAGAGCTATAGGAATGAGTGAGGTACTGGAAAAAACATACAACAAGGTTTTGGAGGAGCACTATGTGTTTAACTTGATGGTTGAGGAGTGACTTAATTCTGGTTAGTGAATACCTACATAGGAAATACTTAGTAATGAGCTACTTAAAATTTAACAGACGTGAAATACTAAACTCAAGCAGTGAGAAAATGAAGTTAGATTAATTCACACTAGAAATGTGGATTTATTTGAGCACTAAGAGTAATTAGGTACTAGACCAACATGCAAAGGTGGATTTTTTCAAGTACTGGTGTGTTTAAAATTAGATGATTTTACAAAGGATGTGCTCATAGATGTTTTTATAAGCCTTACTAACTTGTGATTATTTGGGGATTTTTACATTTTGCTTGACTTTAAAGAGGTGGGGTTTTTAAACTACTTTAAGCATTCTTGCCTCACTAAAACGTGGCATGCTGCAATATTCTTAACTAGGGAATTGACACTTCTTAAAAAACTGTCTGGAATTGCTCTTTGAAGATAATTTTTGGCTTCTGAAATTTGTTTGTGTCACACAGGAATAAAGTCTCCAGTAAAGCAGAGTTGGTTGCATAGCTTTATAGTAGTTTGGATTTCTGTCACCTCCTTAATAACATTGTGATTTTGGAGAGGTGGCAAGAAAGCAGAGAGTAGGTGGTGTCTTTTGGGGGTGCAGTAGGTCGCAGAAATAATGTGTCACTCAAGTGGGGCTGATAGGGAAATGCTGATGGAGAAGGTAGAGCGTTTCCTTACATTGGAGGTGAATCAACATGCA